GTGAGGGGGCGGGCGGCGGGCAGGCCAGGGCCGGGAGGAGGGCTCCGCCTGAGGGGGAAGGGAAGGAATTAGGCCGTGGAGATGGTGCGAGGGGAATCCTTCGGATGGGGCAAAGAAAGCCCTGAAAACGCATTGCTGGGGAAGGCAGACATGCCGGGCAAGAAACCCGTGGGGTTCGGAAAGGAGACCTGAAAGCACGGAGGGCACCGTTGGCGGAGGGCAGAACACAGTCGGAGGAGGTGGAGAGGGGCACAATGGTGCACACCTCTAGTGGAGGGGGGTGATGAGGGAACTGCCACGGGGCGCCGTCCGCAGCAGGCCCGGAGGGGTTGGGATGAGAGTTGGGGAGGCTTTTAGCCCGAGAGGCCTGTGATGCTCAGGGCGGGGGAAGGGTCCGGGGGAGCAGCCAGGCCTAGAATGACTGGGGGGGGGGGGTAGGCCTTTAGAAGAGGACGGACCTGCGCACCAATCCGCTGGGAAAAGGTAGGAGCTGGTGCCGGGAAGCCGGGAGGATCTGTGCAGGACCTGGAAATCCCGTTCTTCTCCGGAGGGAAGCGCAGGGCAGTTCAGGCTGCGGGTATCAGAACCGGAAAGGAGAGTTTGTAGCCATAAGATGGAGAATCAAGGATGCGGATGAAAGCGCGCCTGGGTACCGACGGGAAAGGAGATGAGGCTGTGCTGGATGGAGTGGAGCGGCCTGGGCCCACCGATTCCGAAGAGCTACTGTCATTCTAGGCCCTACGTGCTTGGAGTCTTGGCTGGGCGCGGATCCTGTCTCCTGTCCGCGGTCCTGGAGTCAGGCAGCAATGATGTCATCGCTGCTGGCGCCGAGGGGATGGAAGGAGAGGCGATTGGGGAGGGGGGGGAGAGGGTCGCAGATGGTCAACAGGATTTTATGGAGGCCAGGCCTAAAGGAGACCATACTCACTGGCCACTGCCTTGAGGGCTACCTGAGTGGCTTGTCTGTCCTGTTAGTGTAGGAAGCACAGAGGCCTAGTCTGCTGGTTTAGAGAGAGGAGGGAAAGGGAGAGAGAGTTCTTAGGCCTAGGACCTGGAAGGAGGCAAGACAGGCCAAGAAAATGAAGGCGTGGGTGCCCCGTTCTTTAAGCTAGCCTGCGCTCTCCAAGTCCTGAAGCTCCCTCCCTAAGTCCTCCTCCTCTGCACCAGGCAGGGTAGCCATGAACAGGTTCCGCCCTTGGGTGGGCAGCCTTCTGACAGATGTGCCTCCTGGTTTCCTAGACAAGTAACCTGCACAATACAGTAGTGAAGACGGCTATGTGGGGATCCAGGACCACCCCTGTGCCACACCTTTTGCCAGTTGGTAGAGACAATGATTAGTGGCCACCTAGCTGGAGATAAGTGGTTTTTCTGCCTTTTTTGAAGTCAAACAGAAGTTTTACAGATGTGTACAATATTAAACCAAGTCCAAAAGGACTTTTTTCTAGCCTGATGCCACTACAGGATTATTTAGGAGCTTGAAAATCCTGGAGAGAAGTTCATCCTGTGAATTTAAAGAAGCGTTTTGGGCTGGCTTAGGAGAACTTGCCTTAATAAGTTCCCTATGCAGCCAACCTTGCTTGTCAAACTAAATTTCCCTTCCCATCTCAAACTTCTAATCAAGAAGCAAAAGGGAAGAGAAATGAAAGAGGTATTTGTTTAAGCCAGAAGGAAGAAATGAGTTGGTGATTATCCCCCATTTGAAGGTCCCATGAGGGATGCAGTAGCTGTCCAAGGAAGGGGAAGGAATTGGGCTCCTTGTTCAGTATCTCCAGTTGTCTTTATTAAAAATATTTTGCCAGTACTGGGGTCTCTAAATTGTTATGCAGGTACTCTACCATGCAAGCCATATCCCAAACCCCTATTACTTTTAATATTTTTCAGATAGAATCTTGCTTTTTCCCCAGGCTGGCCTTATACCTTGATCCTTCTATATCTATGGTTCCTATGTAGTTGGGATTACATATGTGCACTATTATACCCAGCTTACTTGTTGAGATGTGATATTTGGTGAGATGTTGGTTGGTCTTGAACATTTAAAAAATCCTCCGAATCTCTGCCTTCCAAATAGCTGGTATTATAGGCATGTACCTCCATGCTCAACAACTGCCTGATAATCTTGCCAGTGGTTTATTTGGATAGAAGACTCCTGAGCTGTTGCTGTGCTGTGTATCCTTGAAGTGTTTATAGCAAGGAAGTTATTAGAATAGCTATAGCTGCCTATAGACCCTTTTTTAAAACGTAAGGTAGCCTTGTCTGCAAGAGAATACTTTGTTGAAGTTGAGTGTGCCTTAAAGAAATAGTAATATAGTCTCTCTCTCTCTCTCTCTCTATCTCTCTCTCTCTCTCTCTATCTCTTCCATTTGGGGCTCATAGATTATTCTGCTTTTTGACCTCTTTCCCAGGTTGTAGTCTAGAGATACCCCAAAACTCTTTGCTTGCCCTCTATTTTATTGAGATCCAAAGATTTTTTTTTTTTTGTCAGTCATGGGGCTTGAACTCTGGGCCTGGGCACTGTCCCTCAGCTCTTCAGCTCAAGGATAGTGCTCTATCACTTGATCCACAGCACCATTTCCAGTTTATTGGAGATGATAGTCTCATGGACTTTCCTGCCCAGGCTGGCTTTGAACTGATTTCCTCAGATCTCAGCCTCCTGAGTAGCTGGGATTACAGGTGTGAGCCACCAGTGCCCAGCTTCTCAGGGGTCTTAATTTGAGTCATAGGGAATTAAAATGCAGACCATAGAAGTAAAAGGATGGAAAGAGTATAAAATAGCTCTGTAGAGGTATCTGGCTAGATAATAAAGAATCAGCTGTGAATGTTTCATTTTTTTGCTATTATTTGTAGTCTCTCCTCTTCTCCCTGGACCATTTTTCCATTTATGAAATGAAGACACTATCAACTTAAAGTTTAAGCAGTTGCTCCTCACTCTACCTTCCAAAGAATATAATATTGATTCAGGAAATAGATTTACCAAATAATTATTGAGCATCTACTCTATCCCAGATACAGATACTACACTGCTGTCAGGGGCATAGTGGTTAGCAATGCAGACACAGATGTGGCTCTGACTTCCAGGAACTTGCAGCTTGGTAAAAGTTTATTTTCTCTGAGTGAACCCTGCTGAGAGCAGAGTGGGCCTGCCTCCTGATGGCCATGGAAAGAGGACAGTGACCATGTCACATCCTCACCACTTTTGGATATGTATAGAGCCTATTTCTTGGGCTTTATCATCAAATAACCCTCTTATATAGTGGTGGGAAGAATCTAGAGGTTGTCCCTTACTTGGAAAGATGAGCTGTAGGGAGAGATTTTTTTTTCTTTTTTTACTTGAAAGAAACTTAGCTTGAAAAGGAAGCCTGGGGGAGTGGCAGGAGCTGAGCTAGAAGGTGCAGCCAGCAGATCTGGGTGTTTCCAAGGTGCTAATTTAAGCATTAGCTCTCAGCTAGTGGGAGGAAGAGGAGGAGATCCCTGCCATGTTGCTGCTGCTGTGGCCACAGCTGCATGAAGCGTCCTGCCCGGGTTGGGAGTTTGCCTGAAAGGAGTGACTTCCCTTCTTTCCCCATCCACACCAATTATTTAATTGGCCTGGCTGCACCTCAGCAGCTGAACCAGTCCTGGGCCTAGCCCTGAGCTCCCTAGGGTTTCTTCCTGTCTCGTTGTAAAAGAAATGAGAGCTTTCTTGGTGACCTATTCCCTGGGCTCCACTCCTGCTGTGTCTGCCTCCTAGGCAATTCTGAGTGTAACAGAGCACAGAGCCTCTCCCAAGACACTTTGCAATGACCCACTTCGCATGTCATCTCTGTGAGCCATATAGCTCATTGTTGAGCAACTGTATTGAATGTGTTTGTATAGTAACATGCACAGATTCTCTAGCTTTGTTGTCTATCTGTTAAGATGGTTGGTGCAGCCACACAGACTATATCTTCTCTTTGGCTGCAATTGGAAAGGAAGAGATTTGTTGCAAGAAAAACAAATAGAGCTTTTAAGCACTTAATTGTGTCAGGCAACACCCTGCTGCCTGTGAGCTCACAGGCTAAAGATACTTAAAGAATGGCATATGGCAACAGACGGGATCTCTGCACGGTTGGGAGAAAAACTAGTCTGGTCTCGCTGAAGCCAGATTATCCATTTACTCATTTGTTTAGTTTATGCGTATTTGCTGTATATGTACTCCACTCCAGGTAATTCAAGGATAAAGAGACAATGCAATGAGATCTCTTCAGTGGATAGACAGAGGACTGGATGAAAAGATGGGCTCAAGATGACAGGAATTCTTTTAGATACTTGTCAGAAACAGTAGCAATCAATAGAAATGTTCCTGAGAAAGAATTACACCTAAGGATAAAGTGGATTACAGGAACTGAAAGAGGGGTGTGAGACACCTACAGCCTTCTGACACTGAGAGATGGGGATGATGAATACATTAATTCAGAGCTTACACCTGTAATTCCAGCTACTTAGGAAGTAGAGATAGAAGTATCCCAGCCTGAGCAAAAAGTTAGCAGACAATAAAAAAAAAAAAAGAAGGTAGGCACAGTGCTTCAGATCTAGTCTAAGATAGGTGTCTGAGGCTAGTCCTAGGCAAAAGAATAGGAATCATGAGACCCTATCTAAAAAATAACTAAGAGCAAAAGGGACTGGAGTTGCAGCTCAAGCAGTTGAGCACTTGCCTAGCATACTAGAAACCCTGAGTTAAAAATCCTAGAGGAAGGAAGGAAGGAAGGAAGGAAGCAAGCAAGCAAATTAAGTGATTGGACCATAGTGGACACTAATAGTCACTGTGGAAAATTGACCTACATGCATTCTATGGTCTGGACACCTTTAAACTTTTCCTATAGTCAGATGACTTCAGTTTTAAGATTGGATGCTCCTAGTGGGCCGATGTGGTTTATGACCTATCAGTATGTTTTAGATTCTTTGGGAGAGGACATTTTTCCCTATTCTCTAATTTCCAATTTCTTTAATTCCAAATTGAGTATTGGGTTTCCTCAGGCCCTCAT